GATGTGGCACCAAACTACGAACGACGATGACGACATTGTCGTTCGTCGTTCACTTCAAAGGTGAGTCCCCTGACTCTCCTTCATCCTATCCCATCTCGCTAACAGCCACCACGACATCACACGATGACGACGAGTGCATTGTCCCTCCCCCTTCCCTGTCCCTCCCTTCCTTTTCCTGCCCCTCTTCCCTGTCCCTCCCCATTTCCATGTACTCCCATCCCCCTTCCCTGTCCCTCCCCATTTCCATGTACCCCCTTTTCCCTCCCCCCTTTCCTGTCTGTCCCTCCTAGTGTTCGCAAGTTCAGTTCAGTCCGGTTTTTTGCCCCCAAAACGCGCAACCATGGACCGCAACCGGTCTAGGACTGACCCAGATATTGAGGGAACCGAACCGAACCACCCAGGACCGGTCTTTTTCGGTCTATGGAGCTGGTTCAGACCGATCCAGACCGGTTTTTTTGCGTATAATTTATTATACCAATATAAACCATTTGTATCTTGACTATTATTACTCTGAAAAATAAACGGGTTATATGAAATAGTAAAGCATGTAAATACCCGTCATTCTACCAATTTTGAAGAGATTTAATGACGATTTGACATAGCTATGACTGAAACCGAATTACATCTCATAGAGACTCGGGTAAAATATGGATTTGGTTATATCTTTCTCAATTCTTAACCGTTTTTGATGAAACAAAAACGCAATAAAAGGTAATAAACGTGGTTACAAGGGTATGTAACGCACGTGACCGTTTAACCGGTTGCAACCGATCAAAACCGGTCTTTGAACAGTTTTAATATATTTTCGAAATGAGGCAACCGGCAACTGGACCAGCCCCAAATTGGGGCAACTGCAACCGAAAAAAAGACCGGACCATGGTCCGGTTCAGTTCGGTCCACCGGTTTTTTGCGGTCCTATGGACTGAACCTTTAAACACTAGTCCCTCCCCATTTCCTTGTCCCTACCTCCTTCCCCCATTTCATTGTCTCTGCCCCCTTCCTTTTCCCTGCCCCCTTCCCTGTCCCTCCCCATTTCCTTGTCCCTGCCCCTTATCCATCCCCTTCTTTAATATGCACTGTATGTAGTAAAATAGACTCATGTCATTAATAAAATACATTAAAATTTGATTTGAATGACTTGACTAGAAGTGAATTTTATAAGAAATTCTGAGTATTGAGTTGAATCAATGCAGATTAAGTCACCTGACCTCTAGATCAGTGCTGATCCATTCTGATTGTAGATACTCTGATCAGAGCATGTGGGGGAGGGTAAAGTACTGCTATTTATGGTGGATTGTGGTCTTATTCAACTGGAATCCACTGGATTCCGCAGGACTCCGCTGGATTCCACTGGATTCCAGTCCCATTCCTGCGGATTCCGCCGGAGTCCGGTCCCATTCCACCGGAATCCGCAGGAATGACCGGAGTCCGACAGGAATAGGTAGGGCACAATAAAGTACTGCACAAAACAGATGCCAAATGAACAGATTCAATTTCAGAGTTTAAAAGGTGTGAATTAGACATGTTGACATCAACATCAACAGACTCCTATAAAAACATCAGCAAAGGGCAACTGTAAAAAAAAAATTGAGGTACGTACTGAAGCATGAAAATCATGGGACGTTGAACCAGAATCAAAAGAACACAAATTTTCCACTTGCAGACCATCGGGGAGGGAAGACTACAAGCACGGTGAATATTCAAAGTCGTGGCGAACCATATAAAAATGCGTACATCATCATTTGGTCGAGACTCGACGCACTACACAAAGCATGAACTTTGCCAATTTGAGTCAAAGGAAGCAACTTACAAAAACGCGGGGGACAGTGAACGACATTACGCCACATAGCTCCTTCAAAAAGACTTTCCAATCTGTTCCCAAGATAACGTCGAAATTGGCGAAATGGGTCGTAGATATCATAGAAACGATGCAGGTCATCCAGGTTTCTCCTATACGGACGGACACCGCGATATCATGAAAACATCGTTCGGGGTCAAGGCCAAACCGGCTAAGCGCTGAGGCAGAAATGAACGACCTAGTGGTAGATCGAACGTCGACAGATGCAGCATGTCCATTGAACGTGAACTGAAAGTCGGACAAAGACATGGCGGTTGAGAGACAGATGGTTTCAATTATACAGAACCAAACATTACAATCACGGTACGATCAATGTTCCCTAACTACGCGGATGGACAACCACGCTTTTTGCATACTCGCCCCAAGCACCAATTGTATCGTCGGGTTAAGAGGTTGCTCATTACATTCCCCCTACGCCATTCTAAGAGGCCAACGCCGGCAAAACCGGCAAATTCTTGTTGTGCTGTAGGACAACAGGTAGGATGTTCGACAGGATGATAGGCAGACTCCAAGAAAATCGCAAATCCTTTAGAGAGCATCTCAAAATACGTTGTGGAGGCGGGAGGAATACCAAACGCGTAGGAGATTCGATTTTGAAGGGTTTGAGTTGGATAGAGGCACCCAAAATGCTCCGAGCTGATAAAATTCATACAGGCAGTATGGCCGGCGCGAACGACGACACCCAAAAAGGAATCCGATTCGTGCGCCTCGGTAACTGTGATAGTTTTCCCTTCAGGATTAACAAACACAGAATGAGTGAATGCAGCGGCCGCCTCTCTTTTTAAAACACCGGCGCCAGCGAACCGGAATTGAAGACCATGAAACAACTGTAAAAAATTCTGTAGTCCATCTCGCGGGGTCGCTATATTGAGGTCACAGGGAGCCCAGCTGCTACCGCCGCCATTCAACAGAATCTTCAACGCCGTCGAACCAACGACAGCACTATTGGAAGCAGTAAGAACCGCCACAAATTCCTCGATGTATTCTGATTATTAACATCAACAATAGATCAACCAATGATAATAATTAATCACTGACCATAGGCTATAAATGGCGACAAAAAAAAATACAGACGTTGCTTGAGATACTCTTGGACGACTGCACGACACGACCAACTGGCTTGACTAAAAGAAGCGAGGACGTCGAGAGAGCAGCATTCAAAGACAAGTGTCCTGACATCCCTGCCTTCACCAAAGAAGAAGTCCGAGAATGCGTCGACTGGCTTGGTAGTTTGCATGAAAATGACGGAAGAGAATCAAAGTTTTCTACAGAAAGGGATGCTTATGTATAAGGAAAGAAGAAAGCTCCTATTAGCATTCCGTCCACCCCTCTTCCAAATAATCGGGGTGAGGCTGAAACAACAATTTGGTAGGGAAAAGCCAACATGTTTTTTTTTTTTTTTCTTTTTCTGAATTTATAAAGTTCATTCACTGTGGAAGAATCAAACACATTTGTTCGTTTAAAATTCAACATTGATTACCGAAAAAAAAAACGGACGAAGATAGTAAGTATAGGTGGCAACGTGATGGTGAGAGGACAGTCATGTGATCATCACATGACCATCTTCAAATCCTTGAGTGGCGAAGGGTGGCAAGACCCACTACTTTCATAGCGGGCATCATTTAGAGTAGCATAGATATAATTGCCAGTCTCTTGGAAATGAAGACTCTTGAAATTGAGGCAGACTTTGCAGTATCCATGACGATCTTTTGTTGGCTTCTTTTGATCTGCCTTGTATGCAGCAGTGGTGTCACAGCCGTCTTGACCTCAGCCATAAAGGTCAGGCCGAAATGTGGGTCAGGCCAATTTGACCGGTCGTGTCTGTGGTCAAAGGGGTCAAACATCACATGCCAAATCCCAGATTACCTGCGACATTGAGTAGACAGTGAAGCAAGTAATAAAGTAGTGTTGAACCTGTCTGTGTAGTCCTACTAGCGCTTTATATGTAGAAAAGTATGAAATTATACCCTACATTACCCTCCTGCTCCCTTGAGTTCTATGATGCCTCCACCCTTGCCACTCTGGGCATATTTTTGTCATGATAAAATCCATTACAAGAATGACAAGACTCACCTAATGCATGGTGCAAGGCATGTATTTTGTCCCAAAAGCACATTTTGCTAGAATTGGATTCGTTGAGAACCTGTTGAGGTGAAATCATGGCAGTCCGGAGTCCCTTGGAATTGGAGCCAGTAATATGCGCGGAGCTGGAAAGTCTGATGGACTCTATCAATACTCATTGTTCGACATTGGTCCCTACACCAGACTTCAATGTTATTCATTGCATTACGTTGAATTTATTTTCAGCTCCATTGCGTACCAATGGAAATTATCGAGACTCAGTGAGTCACAATGGTGCTGTTGTAGGACATTGACCAAAATCTGGTGTCCAATAGACTGCAATGAACCCCGATGGACCTCAATGAATTACGCTGACATTCAGTGAATGTCATTGGAAACTTATCGAAATCCATTGCAGTCCATTGTGGTCCATCGGTACTGGGCATTATTGACCAATTTGCCGGCTTTGGGAAGTTGTTGTTCAACATTGGCAAACAAACTCCGAAGAGCATATTCCGCTCCGTTCGTCCATGGTTATCCAAATGCATCGGACAGCTACGTTAACATATGGACTAAAGACCTCCTAACACATGTCCACACCCTCTGCTTGTGGTCCCCTTCTAACTCCAACAACCCCACAAGTCCCGCTGCAGCACGCCGCATGCGCAGTGCTCTCAACATTGTCTACCTCCGACACAGCGGGCCAAACCCCCCTCTTCTACACCACGATGAAGCACATCACAGCAATGCGCCACTCCACCTCCTTCCACTCTGACCACTCTGCCGCACACTGCCCTGGCCTGCACGAAATCGTGCGCGCATGGCCAGGTGGTAGGACACGGCGTGTTGATGGGCGTAGCTGGCATGGGCATATCCAAAGATGGTCATGGACCAGGCAATGGCATCTGCCATCTTGAAGGACTCGAGGTGTTGGTGGTGAAGTATATCCTGAGGAGTGTTTTAGATATGCCTGCGGAGGGGAGGTTGATGGGGAGGGTTTGGTACTATTAGCTGCATGATAGGTGAGTTTGTTGTACCTGTCGAAGAATAGTGTTAGTAATAAGTGGGGGGCAGACGAGGTCTTATCAGTGCCCCCCTAATTCCTGCAGGAATCCGGTCATTCCTGCGGATTCCGGTGGATTCCGGAGGAATGAAATTTGGCAGGGAGGCCTGCTATTTTTGTCATTCCGGTGCCTTACCATTCCGGCGGAATTTGGGCATTCCGGAATTGACACCGGAATGTTCCGCAGGACTGACAGGAACGGAATGGAACGGAATCCGGTCCTTTGTTTGTTTATTTTACTTCTGTTACCAAACAACGGCAACGTTACCAAACAAATGCAATACCCTTTCCTTTCCACCCACCACCAACCACATTGACAACAGCGACAACGACGACAACGCCACACGACCAACAACGGCCACGACCACCCCAGCAACAAACGGCGACGACCACGGCCAGCGACGTGGCAACGAAACGGACAACGACAACGACAACGACGTGGCGCCAGCACCATCCACGAGCGCCGACCACCATCCACGAGCGCCGACCACCATCCACGAGCACCTCCATCAACCAACGGCGACCAGCGCCCACCACTATCCACGAGCGCCCACCACGCGAACGCCGCGATGCCACGTCACCAACCAAACGAGGCCCCACGGCACCAACGATGGCTCCAACCACGACCACCACACCAGCCAGCCACGAACAACACACCACGCACCCACCAGCACCCTCAAACAACGCCGACCAGCGCCCACTGCCACCCAGGAGTGCCCACCACCACCACGATCAACAAACGGCGAGCAGCACCCCACCAATGACCACGACAACGACAACGACAACGTCCACGTCCAAACGACGACACGCGACGACGACAACGCGACGATGACAAAACAACGA